AACTGAAGGTCAATCACCACAAGCAGAATTACCAGGGCACATCAAGGCCCCCTGAAAACACTGCCTCTCAACTACCAAGTGGTAAACTTGCTGTGACACAATGCTGGTAACACCACCGCATTTTACAGTGAAACTGCAGCATTGAATGTAAATAAATTCCACAGCCACCTTAGCAAATGGAGACTCCCGCACCACCACATCCACACCAACCTTTCCACTTACAGTTCTACTTCTTAACTACTTCCTTAAGACCCTCCACTGCTGGCAATTGGCAGGTGCAAAATCCTCCAACAAGGCAGGTCTTTGCCTGAGCAGGGACAGCTGCTCAAAACACCAGCACACAGAGAGATGGAATTTTCAGTGCTGCTTCACCCAAAGCACCACGTGTCAAAGGCAAGGAACAAGCTTTGATTTTAAGTTAAAAGAGTTTTCAAAATGCCTCAGGGCCAACAGTTTGTCATATAAAGAAAGTGGAGTTAAAAAGTCAGTAATTAATGGAACACCACTAGAAAAGTTCAAAAGCTTTCCACACATTAGCAATGTAAAGCATTTCAACGTTTTAACACTACACTAATCTGCACTGTTTTCAAAGACTCTTGCCTCTACACTGTTTATGTTTTTTGATCAAAGGTACCAATTTCGAACACTTTCTCATACAAACCAGACCTGACTGGATCTGCCTCCTGCACTCCCTTTTGTCATCTGGGAAAATACAGTATTTCTACAACTCATTCAGTATACAGACCTAAAACTGCTACTCAGGAAAAGGCTCCTATAGAGTCTTACCCACCCTTTTATGCCCAGTAGTCCCCTCTGTAATGCAATTACATAGGCAATTAGTCTTATTAATCATGGATTGTGTTAAAATTTTACTTCTCTTTTCATACCATAAACATGTTTATCAAATCCCTATGGAATCATCAACATGAGATATGCCTGAAGTGAGATGACAGTTCTCAAAAACAGGAAGAACAAACAGTTTAAGCCTGATTTTCAAGAGTTTCTATATATACCAAAACACATCTGTTACAGGGCTATGGAGGCTTTGCTTTGTGTCACAATGCAGAAGATTGTGTAACCCTCAGGGAATGCACTAACCAAATCAGTATGTTACATTACCAAAAAGCCAACTTCAATCAAAAAAAAAAAAAAAAGAACTGAAACTGCTACTCAAAATTCTAAGCCTGTTTCCCAATAATTGCTCCATTTCTCTCAGAGTCAGGAACAATAGTACATACATCATCTATATACTCTATGCCAAAAGACATTGCCTACTTTTGATACATCGGGTTCTTCTGAGCAAGCTTTTCTGGAAGACCATCTTCATCATCCAGTTGCTCCAATGGTTCCACAATAACTGGCCTAGGAGTGCTGAACAAAAAAACACTCATTTTACTTTTCCATAAGAATCTCGATTCTGAAAAACTAGAAGCTGACAATTTTATGCAGCTTAAACCTAAAAACCCTAAGCAGCGACATACTTACGTTGTCAACAAAAACACTCCCTCAGTACACCGTTCAAATGCTTTTCTTGCAGCTGGCTTTGATGCAAATTCAACAATGCCTTTTCCTGTTGATCTACCTCGGTCATCTACAATCACAACAGCTCTTTCCACTGGACCAAACTGGGAAAAAGCTTCCTCCAGCAACTCGTTAGACACATAGGGTGAAAGATTGCGCACTGAAAGAGCAGCAGCATGTGTGGCAAACCGAACACGGAGCTGTCGACCCCGCATGGGGGTATCATCCAGTTCTGCCTTCGCAATTTCTGCAAGAGCTCTAGATTCCTGGAGAAAGTTTGAGATCCAATTTTAGAAAACCAAATACACTACTTTCTGAGAATTAAAGGGATGGACGTACAGCACAAAAGCCTACCAATTTAATGAATCCAAAGCCTTTCCCTTTGTTGATAAAAACCTCTCCTGGCTCCCCATATTTAGCGAACAATCTCTTAAAGTCTTCGTCTGTTATATCAGCAGGCAAATTCCCAACAAACAAACGGCAACGCTGAGTATAGGTCTTCTCCCCGGGTCGCCTCAGAAGAGAGAGGTTTGCTTTAAATCCCTAAAAAGAAGCAGACCAGTTCGAGCCATCACTGCGTGCAGCCCCGCTGCCGGCACCACCGAGCCGCGGCCTATCTCGCCAAGGGAAGCCCGGAGCACCGCAATACAA